ACAGCCTTATGCTGGTTTACTGTTTGCACATTGAGAGCCGATGTACCTGAGCCAAATTCCTTGTGTGTCCAACACACCTGGCCAATAAAGCTGATTCTTATTCTGATTCTGAATCTCAGCTGACTTTGGATGAGAAGCAGGGTACACCCTGGACAGGTCACCAGTCTATACAGGGATAATACATTGAGTCTGACAACCATTCACACTGCACTGCACATGCACAACTACAAGCAATTTAACATCAAGAAAAAATGGTGGAAATAAATATTTATTCTTTATTTACATTAGAGCATAAATGTGGTAACACAGATTTCATCCATCCATCCATTTTCCTCCGCTTATCCGGGACCGGGTCGCGGGGGCAGCAGTCTAAGCAAAGATACCCAGACTTCCCTCTCTCCAGACACTTCCTCCAGCTCCTCCGGGGGAATGCTTTTTGGGCCAGCCGAGAGACATAGTCCCTCCAGCGTGTCCTGCGTCTTCCCCGGGGCCTCCTCCCGGTGGGACATGCCCACACAGATTTCATGTTATGAGTCAAATAAACCAAACTTGTTATATAAAGATTAATAATCTCCATTGTAGTAAAATGTGGAAACCAGTGAGCAATTTTGGATTTTACAGCTGATTTTTGGCTGCTTGCTTATTCTTCAAATGGTTTGACCTTTTACCTCCCATCAGACCACCATCTGCCCATTTAGATGAATCATCAGTCCCTGAAGATATTTTATCCTTCACCAACCAAACTTTTATACAATACAAAGTAATAATAATAATAATAATAATAATAATAATAAATTACATTTGTGGGTGCCTTACAAACACCTGAGGATACTTTACAGGACAAACAGCAACAAAAAATGTGAACACAGCAATATAAAGGACAAGGTTAAAATCAAAAAGATTTGGATGAATAAAATGACATGTTTATAACTGTATTATGATGAATATACTAATTTAAACAGATGCATTTTGAGCTGTCATTTCAACTGTATATTAGAATCCACCTGGCGAAGATGTAGCGGCAGTGAATTCCAAAGTCTTGGTGCAGAGCGTGTGAAGGCTCTGGCACCGAAGGTGCTGTGTCTAAAAACAGGGACAGCCAGCAGAGCAGCTGAGGAGGATCTTAAAGGAGCGAGGAGAAATATAAGAATGGAGAAGGTCAGGAAGGCATGGTAATAGCACTGTATTAAAACTATGCATGGCAATATAAATTCTAAGATTACACTGTGGCTCACCTGATGGTGAAAGAGCGATCCACATTTTAGTGAATGAACATGCGAATGCAACACAAAGCTCATTATTTAAATTAGCAGAATAAAAGAAAGATGTAGTAACAGTAGTTAAGTTGATCCTTGCAACTACTTTTATCAACATGATAAACTGATCCACTTCTGTCTCTTCCGGTGTGAATGTAAGCATAGGCATGTGCCTGAATACACACTACATTTACAAAACACAACATAAAGCTTCCTTTTCATCAGATGATTAAGTATAGCTCTAGAAACACTGTTTCATCATTTTCTTCTTAAAATACATGAAAGCTGAGTTGTCTGCAGGGACACAGAGGGTACAACAGTGCCTCAATCTCCAGATGTTCTCTCCTGTAGACAAACCAACCAGGTCCGCCAATTTCTTCATTCAAAATGGAGGGTACAAGCACAGTTAAGTCACATGACAAATAGTTGAGTTTATGTCAAGAAGTCACTTTCAGTTTTGAGTTTTATGCCAGGGAGTAGATGGTGTTGAGTGGAGAGTGGAGCTCCAGACCTCCACTAAAGTCCAACTCCCTGACATCTCTCCTGGTCCCTGTGTACTGGCCAATGAATGAGCCATCCTCATTGAACGATATCTCTCCTCCTTCTCCGTAATCCACCAGACTGTCGTCACTGTCTGATCGCTTCAGCATTGCCTCTATAGACGGCTGGCCTCTTTGAAGGCCTCTTTCCTCCTCACTACAGAATAATGGAAAAGCACAAACTTGATTTTAGAAGTGCATTTTGTAAATGCTAGAAGACAGAAAAGATGACAAACCTCAATCTGATGTATCAGTATGATCAGAAATCTAGATGTACATACCGCCGGGGGTAAGGCAGAGTGGTAACACGTGCTATCCTAAAATATGAAAACAGCTTGTTTGAGATTTTTGAGTGACAAGAAACATTATCACATTGTATTGATCATCCACTTAAAATAAGATCACAGCAATACCAGCAGTTTGTTGAATATAGAACATATTAATAAATGTCATCCCATGCAGGATTTAATTTTAATTGTCAATTGTGTGTCATTGTGTCAATATTTAGTCTTCTCATACCTTTCAAGAGACCTTGGTGAAATAAAGGTTTAGATAGGAAAGGTAGAGTAAATAGGAGAGAAATAAAAAATAATGTAAGTATCATTAAAGCGTTATCATGAATGAGGCCATTATAAATGACTTTGATTTATACCTGTGTAGCATTCACTGAAACTTGATCAACATTAAAGGCATCCTGTGGAGTTTTTGACCATTAGTGCCACTACAGAGCAGCTTGTATGAATTTATCCTGTCGAACGTGTTCTCGAAATGAAAATCACCCTAACAATCCCCAGTGTGTTTGTACTGTATTTGTAATGTGTGACATTCCTGTCTCTGGTTTAATGTTATTCCACACCGATTAATGAATCACATTTTTAGGCCTCAAGAATACATGGTGTTTTAGTGAGTAGCACAAGTGTAAACATTCAATTTATTTGATAGTTCCACAGGGCTGCTTTAATGCAGAATGCTAAGCCACAGCTACAGAGCAACTGTACAGTGTTACAGGACACACAAAGATTTATTCAGTGCCGAGTGTTGTTACCATACTACTTTATCTTTACAAGTACATAGTACACAGTTCAGACTGTTAACGTGATATAGGATGCACTAAAATCAGAATGCAATCATAATGTCCCTCAAACAACATCAGTAATATTTGTCATGAATGTTTTTCTCCTTTTTTTGTTCATTTTCCACCTGCTGTCTGCTGTGTTGCTTACCGATAATCAAAGGATCCCTCCTGATCTTTGTCGTCCACTGGCTCCAATGAAATATCCTTTTTTTCTCGCACTGAAATTAAAACAAGCTGCCATGTTAGAAGTGGAAGACGGTGGTGGTATGAATGTAAAGGAAAAGGGCTGCAACTAACAATTATTTTTATTATAACTTAATCTGTCTGGGTTCAAGCCTGGTCCGACCCGATGCCTTTCTGTGCGGAGTTTGCATGATCTCCCTGTGCGGGTTCTCTCCGGGTGCTCTGGCTTCCCCCTGCAGTCCAAAGACTTGCAGCTTAGGTTGACTGGTGACTCTAAATTGCCCGTAGGATTGAATGTGAGTGTGTGTGGCTGTTTGTCTAAATGTCAGCCCTGTGATAGACTGGTGACCTGTCCAGGGTGGACCCCACCTCTCACCCAGTGCCCCAGCGACTCTCTTCAGTAATAAGTGGTATACAGTAGATAATGGATGGATGGATGGATTCATCTGCAGCTTTCTTGATTAATCAGTTAATGGCTTGGTCTATAAAACAGTTGTCTGCAAATGTCTTGTTTTGTTAAACTAATAATCCAAACCCAAAGACTTGCTATATTGGAAGAACAAAAGCAAAAGCAGCAAATTCTAATATATAAGAAGCTATAACAATAAAGTGAAAATTCTAATGCAGCCCTAGCCAAGAATCACCACTGTACCTGGATATTTGCCCCCTCGGCTCCTCTTGATGAAGCAGACAATGAGGAGGATTAGCACGATGAGAGCCACAGCACACATTATCCCAATGAACCAGCCCTGAGTGGTGATGTCCACCTGGTCCTGAGCATACGCTGTACAAGAACAAAAGCTAAAGACACCCTGATGCAAATACACACATCATCAAAGTCGACAGCCACTCAGAACCTTGATAGAACACAAGATGTTACATGGAGTAGGTATAAAATTACTTTCAGTGGTGTAGTGGGGTGACTCCTCCGTATGCCATTCCCCTATGCCGACACGGGTTTGTGCTGCCACAGAGAATCTGTATCGAGTGTAGCGGTCGTATCGCCGGACAGAGAAACTTGTTACATTTGGAGGGAACTCTTCAACTCGCAGCTCTTCTCCCCTGGTGGCATTCACTGTAGCAAGAGCATACATTTGAGTGAGCCTTGGAGAGCTCTTGAGGCTGTTAGACTGCACACAACAGAGCAATTAAGTACCTGACATGCTTTGCTCATTACACCCTCGAGAACATACTTGGATGGTATTACAGTCTTTAAGTATATACAGTAAGTGAACTATTATGTGCTACAGGTATGTCGACTGAAGTGTTATATGAAAATGTTGACCACCTTTTGTGAAACAGACAGTTTCCTTGTCCATGTGATTCCAAGGAGGACGGCAGAATACTACATTAGACTCTGTAAATGTGGTCTACGAAGTCAGAGAAATCTCTATGGAGGTATTTGAGTGTGTTTCAGGTGTTGGGCTGGTGTACCTGTCTGGTACTTGAGGGAATATCCAGTAATGATTCCATTGGGTTCTGCTGGGAGGTCCCAGTCCACATAAATACTGTCCAGATGTCGCTGTTGGATCCTGAAGGATGTGGGAACAGAGGGTACTACAGGAAAAACACAACAGGAGTCACAAAACAAACTTTCGCCATAAACATTAATTCATGATTTGCTTGTGCTTGGTATAGGGTGCTGATATTTTCCAAAGTTCTTGTTCCTTAGATGGTAAATTATAAATCTCTCTTACCACCTTCAGGTGTTGAGAAGTGTATGTAATTACTGGGTGGCCCTTCATATCGGTTGTTTGCCACCACAAGGTACATCTTGTAGTTGCTATAGGGGATTAGCTCAGTGAGGACCCCAGAAGGCTCTGGGCTATTGTCTGGAAATGCTTTAGACTTCATCGCTCTGTTGACCCTCAACCATCTCAGCTGGCTGCTGTCTCTCCAGTAGTAGACCTGAGAGATGAACACACCCAGTAGTTTTAATTTTGCAATCTCAACAAGCAATGAATTGTTATTTTTGGTAACACTTGTTTGTTCTAGAAAGGTTGCAATGTTTTTGGTGAAGAACCTTCCTCAGACATCAGACTCACAACACCATCTTTTCAATAAAACAACAAACTGTAAAAACTAATCTAAAGCAGACTCAAATCTCAAAGTCCTGAGCCAATTATCACAAAACTGAGTGGTAAAATATCCCTAAAATGTAACAGGTGCTTATACAGCAGGTCATAATCTATGGAGTACAAAAAACAAAACAAACAAACAAAAAACAAAACAGGTTTTATAAAAGCAATACAAAGTGTTTAGGGGAGGTAGATCAGACAAAACCTAGTCCAACACTTGCATCAAAACTGAGAATATCATCATAACATTAAATGATTAACAAATTATACAAAAAAGACTTATGATGAAGACAAGGACAATACAACTGAATGCCATTAATATATGAAGTGCATATACTTACAAGAAAAAGTAATTGCACTGTTTGCAATTTCCTGGTTTTCTGCATAAATTCGGCATAAAATGTAATTTGGTCTTCACCAAAGTCCCAAATATCAACAAACACATTGTTTCTAAGCTGATAAAACACAAGCAGTTCGATCTTTCATGTCTTTATTTGAACACACCCATTAAACATACGAAGTGATTCTGAGAAAAGTCATGGCAACACTGTTCTTCTGTCACCTATTGTCAACTGGAGTCAGGTGTTAGCAAATCTGGAGTCCAATCAATGAAACGAGAATGGAGTTGTGATTTAAATCTACCTTGTCTAAAAACACTCAAACATCATCAGTGTGCTATTCACAACCAATTTGATATTTTATAACAGTTTTTCATTTGTTTCTTTGGATTTGACATATACACTTTCAAAAAATATAAATTTAGCTTTACCATACAACCATTACAAACCAAGTGAAACCTATTTAAATGCTTTGTCAGCTCAATTTCAGCAGTGTACTCTCCAGTTAAATACTGTTTCTATTTTTGTCTAGCCACATTATTGTTGACTATTATAAAATTCCATCAGTTGAATTCACAATAGACACACCTTGTATTCTTTGAATTCTCCCATAATAGAGTTGCGTGTCACTGGGTCCCAGTGCACGGTCACCTGAGTGCTCTCAATGTCGGACACTCTCAGGTTCAGGGGTGCAGTTATAGGACCTTTGGGAAAGCAGACATGGCACAGTACTTTGTCTTGTCTATCAGAGAAGACAAGGAGAAGTGAAAAAAAGGGAAACTCATGCCCAAGAATAAAAAAAAAAACACTGACTATTTCACTCATTTAAAACCATTTGTGATGTGTGGGTCCTATATTAGAATCATAATATTGAACCAGAAACCTTCTAATCACAAGGTTGTTTGTTAACCTTTAGGCCACTTTTCCACAGTTACAGTAGAAAAGCTTAAAAAAGCCATATATTAATACAAAAAGAAAATCCACACTCCACAATAATTTGTTTATATAAAGAGCTAAACATTAACAGGGCTCACCTGAGCCATACTACTGAAATATTTTTAAAAGCAATTAGACAAGATGATACAAAAGAAAGTCAGAAAATTAATTGAATTAGATAACTGAGATCTGGAGACAATGGTGCTGAAATGTCATGGAGTAAAATCTGCACTGCATAACTGCTAAGGCATTTATGCTAGTTTTTAATGTATAACTCAACACTATATTACAGTATAATGCAATAGATTTAGGTACATACGGTCTTCCCCAGAGTAGCCAGTGACAATAGGAGACTCCGGGCCCAGCCCAAAGTCATTAACAGCCTGGACTTTGATGTCATACGGAGTGAATGTGTCTGCATCGTAGATGTAGTACTTCAGCCATTTAGTGGTAGCATTCTTCCACTCCTCTCGGGAATCTCTCCTTCTCCACCACACCAGGTACTTCAGGTGGGGCCCGTTCCACTCCCTGTAGGTCAGAGGCTGAAAGCATGGTGTAAAATGCCCAGCATAGTTTATTATGGCAACAAATTAAAATATTCAGCAGAGAAATATTCAAAGTAAATATCAACATGTTGCACTTCGAGGGTTCGGTTCTTATTACCTCCCAGCTGATCTCCATGTTATTCCTCCATGTGCCCACACCCTTTACGTTCCTTGGGACAACATCTGGGGCTACAGGAAAAGCAATGCAATGCTAAGGTCGTTGCTTTATAAAAATAGTTTTGGGGAATACAGCTACAGACAGGACATGTTAGCATACCTTAGTGTAAAAACTGTTCCAGTATCCAGTCTATGCTCAGCTAAGCTATAGCTTTATATATCCTAACATACAGACATGAAAGAGGTATCAATCTTCTCATCTAACTCTGCAAAAAATGAATTAGCATATTTTCTGAAAAATTGTGCTTCTAAATCTGCTACAAATATGGCTGTTTGCAGTTTAACAGTCTGTCTCTGACAACAAAAATGTATATTAGGAGCTTCAAACCCACGTGCACCACTGCTCTGGAAGCGCATAGATGGACGACTGGGGCGACTCAGTCCCATTTCATTTACAGCAATGACCCTGAACTGGTAGTAGGTAAAAGGTGAAAGATGCAGGATGACGGAGTTGAGGTTCCCTGGGTACGTTGATAGATTTCTCCACTTCCCAGGCAACCAGTCATCATCATCATATTGCACTAAGTATTCTGTAACAGAGCAAGAAATAGATTCATTAAGAAGCATAGCCAGTGAGTTGGTAAATACAATAATCTGTGAAACAATAATATTCAAAATGTTTGACTATTTCTGATCAGTTTATTTTGTTTCATGGCTCTTAACCTGTAACAGGGTTATGGTTGCTGCCTCCAGGAACCCAACTGAGCCTTACAGTACGTTCATAAGGATCTGACAACTCCAGGTTAGTGGGAGGATCTGGACGGTCTACACGCAAAAATAAAAGAACAGTCAAAATCCTAACATGCAGTGTGGTGGATGAAATAATATTAATTTTAAATACATCATACCCATCACCATTAGGCGTGCTGAGGCAGATTTCTGGTCCAGTTCACTCTTGATGACACAGGTATAATTGCCCTCATCAGCTCTGTTAACATTAGTGATGACTAAATTTGATTCATCCAGAGAGATTCTGAGGAAGAGAGTGAAACCGGTGAGATTATGCTCACTGGTTCTCACAAAAAAAGCTTATCTTAAACACAAAATGTGCCTACCTCCAGCCGAGACTGACTGGCTTTTTGTCTTTCATCCAGGTGGTTGTGACAGGGGTGGTGACATCTGCTTTTACTCCACATTCAAAACGCACATCACTTCCACGGATGACTTTCATACTCTGTGGTCTTGTGACAATTAATGTGGGCTCTTAAATGAACAAAAATACAAGATTGCACAATCAAAAAACTTTAGCGTACAGTTTTATTGCTAACTCTAAGATGCCTCATATGAAACATTATTGACCCTCACCTTTGACCTCTATTCGGACTTGGTTCTCATCTCTTCCTGCAATGTTGCTGACCACGCATAGATAAGTCCCCTGGTCCTCTATTCGTATACGTTTGATTTCCAGAGTCCCATTATTGTGGGTCTTAAAACGATTTCCTTCAAGATTCCCCTGTCCATATTTGGACCTGTATGAGTAGACCCATGATCATGTACATACAGATACATGCACAAGACGGTGTCTGAACCAACTCTTTACATTAAAGCATCAAACAACTTATTCTCACCATCGCAAGTCAGGCACCGGAGAACCAAAGTAGCGGCAATCTATGAACGTATGACTGCCTTCTATCACTTTGATGAGTTCATTTTTAGGCCCAAGAATACGTGGGGCTGCATCTAGAGAAGGCATAACAACTCTAGCATTATCAATGAATAATTAATTACACTTTGACCTCTTCACTTTACTGTATGTACTTGGTATACCCTACCCTCTTCCCCTCAAAATGTGGTATCTACTGTACTTTTAACTTATTTATTATGGCTCCGGAAAGCCTCTCGTGTTTTGTAAGAGGAGAACAGAGATGGCAATTGTAAAGTAAAAGAAAAGAAAAGCTTTACTCAAAACAATAGCCACGTTGGCCTCCTCAATGAGGGAATTCTGTGCATGATTTCCAATTAATGGTCAAGACCAAGCATTTGCTGTCTAAAAATGTTATTTTCCAATGAAATCCAAGGTATACATTAAATATCATATTGTCTTGTTGTCCATATAGCTGTCCTCAAGTATGTTTGTATGGGTGACTTACGTAGCACATTGAGAAAAGCATTGGCCAGTAAGTAGCCATACTCATTTGAAGCATTGCACTGGTAGACGGCAGTGTTTCCAGCAGCCACACTGCGGAAGCTCAGTGTGTCACCTGACACCTGTCTGTTCGGTTGTGGTGCAGCACCTGGAAAAAAAAAACACACAAGGAAGGAGAAATACAGCAGCATTAAGATAATTCTGATTTATTTTTATTTGTGCGTTTGATCTCCAAAAACTTACTTTCAATTGGTTCTCCATTGATGAACCAGCTAATTGTAGGACGAGGAACCCCATCAGAACGACATACCAAACGTCCGTTTTCCTCAGGGGCCAAGATCAAATTAGTGGGCTTCTCCAACCAGAATGGAGCAGCTGTTAAATACAACTATGTTAGATGTTCCAACATTATTCTGTAGTAAGAAAATAGGATAGTGACAGTTTCTGAAGGGGTGTCTCACCTTTGACCATGACAGTTATTGTGTGTTGAATGTAGCTGATCTTATTAGTAGCAGTGCACACGTATTCACCAGCATCGCCAAAAGACGCCTTTGGGATTTGAATCATCTTGTTGAAGTTCTTCACTTTCATGCGAGATGTCACCACCAGGTCCCCACCATTCTTGGTCCAGGTAATATGAGGAGCTGGCCTTGGTGATGATAAACAAGGCTTTACACCGGATGACTTTCATGAAATCAAAGTGAAAATCATACTGAACAGAAAACATATAGACACATAACTTTCTGTGGTAGACATTAGCACTAAATATACTATGCAAGAAAGGTTTATAGCTATATCTTGTGATTATAATTTCACACTCACACTCCTGCAGCGATACACTCCAGGAGCAGTTCTTCTCCTTGCAGGACCAGCAGGGAGCTGGCCGAGCCTGTGGGAGACAACCAGGTGGGGGCAGCCTCAGCCACTGCTCGAGCTACAGAGAAAACAAACCAGAATACAGCAGACACCGACTTCAAACAATCACAAAACCTGTCTGACAAAAAAGAGAGAACAGTTGAAGCATAGCACACACTCACCACATTTAGTAAGTTTTAACTGAAGAAAAAGTGAGTAGTTATAGATTATAGTCTGAAATAAAACAGTATGGTCCCATGGGTAAGTACATCCGTAGTAACATAATCTCACATAATCTTAGTAAGTTGTAGGAAAAAAGACATGACATTTTTTTATGAATATATCTTTGTTTAGAAAAAAATCAGTTTTAGTTATAAATTGTTTAAATGTGCAAAATTATATAATGACAATATACTGTGTAACCTCTGTCACTAGTCCATTTTAGGCCTTGGTAATGTCATAGCATGTATCCAAAGCCAAACATCTTCATTTCAGTGTGAGTTACATTTTACTGGCTGAAATCACATTTGTCTTGAAAACAGAGAAAAACACATGAAACTAAACATTTTCTGTTTTGTGCAGTATTTACATATGAAAACTCTGCAAGTCAATAAAAAAACAAAACAGACATCTCCCAGTGGTTCATTCGCTTAGAGTGCCTGTGTTTTTTATTGCCACAGGTTTTATTCAACAACGACTGAGTAAGAATAAAAACAGTTCCACCTGATCTGCCACAGGCTAAAGATCCCTGCAGTAACTCAAAGAAATTGTCCAAACAAATCCTCATTATAAGCCGTAAATGCTCAGCTTTAACTTCAGCTTGAATTGGTAATTTGCTCTGTTAGTACTGTAGGTTAGACCCATGTCTGAAGTTTACTCACGCACTTGATACATGCATCTAAAAACATGGCATAAAGGTCAAAGTGCCATAAACCTAGACATCAGCTAATGTGAATGCACAGTTATACTCACTTGTAACCACTTTAACAACCACAGGCATCTTCTGCTGGATGACATTCTTGTAGGGGAAGCGAGCATTACAGCAGTAATCAACAGCAGAGTCGTTGAACAGGACGTTAGAGAAGTACAGATCTCCATTAACTCCCATGGAAACCCTACGGTCCTGCCGCACAGGCTGCATGGTGGGAAAAGCTGTCTGAATCGGCCAGTTGAAAGGTCTCGCATATGAACCTGAAATAAAAATAGTGTTGCACACAGTGTAAGGGAATACCCTGAGTAAATTTGTGGTCTCTTCTAGGACGACATTGCTTCTAGCCATAGGACACGAGGGGTCACTGAATGGTTTAATTAATGAGGATAAAAACAATGAGAATCACATGCTGTAGCCTTCACAGTCACCAGATCTCAACCCAGTTCAGCACCTATGGGAGATGTTGGCGTGACGTGTTAGACAGCATCTCCACCACCATCATCAAAACAGCAAATGAGGGAATATCTTTTGGAAGAACGGTGCTCATCTCTCCAGGAGAGTCAATGCCAAAGTGCAGTGAAACTGCTCTGGTGGCACATGGTGGCCCAGCACCTTATTAAGACACGTTTTTCATTTTAATTTCTTACCCATTTGTATAGGTAAACAACTGGAACACAAACCAATCAAATGTTTGACCCTAGACTTCAGTGACCCAGCTCACCTATTTATGTCAGAAACTTTTATATAAGACACTCACAGCTGGACATCCAGTGGGTTTCAGGTTTAGGTGGGCCAGGTGGAGGGTCACAGGACAGAACCAGAGGCAAGCCAGCGCTGACCACCACAGGCTCCAGGATCTCCCTTGGCCACACAGGCGCTCCTACATAACAGAGGAATACATCTTTACACTGAGCAGTAAAATCAAGGTTGTTGCTTGATAACTGTGTATATTCAATATGAGGACAGCTACAAAATGATTAATATCAGGCCCTATTCTGATTACTTAAATCAACTAACAGATGGACAAGGATCTTAATATTCTATATTTTTCTTATTGCCAACTAACTCCATGGGAAGATCAAACGCAGCAAGGAGCTGATCTGATTAACAGGTACTGACTTACTTGAATTTTCATTTTCAGGTCTGAGCCTGGGCTTGGGATTAACACACTGTTGGTTTTGGTTTTTATGTGGGAATCACTGACAGTACCAACCTTATCCTGTAAATTTATCATTGACTGGCCCTGTTTTTTTAGGGATTTTAGTGATTACACTTACATTTTTAAATAACATTCTCAATACAATATAGTATAGTAATAAACACTTACTGTATAGTCGCAATATGATCTTGTTAGAGTATGCAGACCCATACTCATTGGAGGCAATGCACTGATACTCTGCCTCATACTGTTCCGGGTTTTTCCGGGCATAGATATCCAGCGTCCCTGAACGCCTGCGCATTGATGTCTGAGAGTCTCGTGCAACGTTGAAATACTTCCCATTACGCCTCCATGAGAAACTTCATGATTGAGGAAAAAATGGACTAAGTTGATTTGCACATAACAATGTCAGCTTTAAAACAACTGTTTAGTGGTCGGTATTAGGTCTTACATGGGGTGAGGGTTTCCGCTGGCTTCACACTCTATGACCATGGTGTCTTTAGGGTCAACAATGTGTTCCTTCATTGACTGTTTTATGATGGTTGGGGGTTGTCTGACTGCAAGCAGAGAAATACATACATCCGCTTAATCTATTAGGAACTCATGTGATCTAACAACACATATCACACATTCCAGAGAGTAAGGTAAACTACTGACTCACCTTCCAGAGGGATGTCCAAAGCCCAAACACTCTGCCATAAAAGTAGCAGCAGCGCTGGGTGGATCGCTCTTCCCATGTTTGCAGTTCATTTAATCCAACACTACTTCTGGTCACCAATTCTCCTGTTCTTAAAATAAACGAGGAAATATAGAAGACATGTACTGTACAAGGAATTAATTTCATGCAGTTAAAATCCAGGACAAATTACTGAATGAGAAACTTTAGATTTTATGCAAATCAACCACTTTGCAGTAGTGAACGCCTCACCGTGGTGGATAAACGCCTCTGAACTTTCACTTAAGTAAGTGTTCGTCACTTACTTTCCTACTTAAGTAGTACGGTTTTGAGATGAATAATAGGAGACGAAAGAAGAAGAAACACCTTTATGCTACACAAATTTCTATATTCTTTGTGTGAATTATTAGATTGTTTGACCTCTTTGAGGGCCAGACTGATCATTTCCATTAAACTATTTGAGAAATCAACCCAACAATCAAAACCTCTGAGACACCTGAAACATCTAACAATGTGACCACAAGCCAAAAAGGTTGGGAAAGACTTGTACATCATATTTGTAAGCCTGTTAAAATTTCTTAAAGTAAAATCTTAATCTAGAAAGAAACTACAGCTGTGGAGGCAGTGGATAAAGATAAAGGGTAAAATATTCCCTCTGCAATGTAGTGACATCACATGAAAATACTTAATGAAAGTACTTGAATAAATGTTTAGATCACACTGTTACACAACTCTCTATTTCAGGATGTTGGGAAAATGAAAATCCTGAATTCCTGGCAAGAGTGAACTGTAGTATATGTACAGAAAGACAAACTTTTAATTAGACATCTTTCTTCAAAATATGCAATGAACCATAGATTCAGTTAGCATGATTAAAACAAAAAAATGGTCAGTACTTACAGTACTGTACCTCTCATGTAAAGTCAGGGCTTCGTCCTCCCCATCTCTGTGGCTTCCCCAGTTCATTAATTATTTCCAGTGACTTTTCTCCAGGTAATTATTCTTGTTTGTGCAGTATATCAATTAATGCCTCAGTTCGTCAAATATCAGGTCAAGAACTCTAGAGTTGAAATGCTTCAATAATAGAGTTTCTTTCCATCACTGCCACTTACACTCAGCCCACCCATCTCATGAATAATGAATGAGTGCCATACACCACCTACGCCTCACCCAGCACACTTCTCTCTCATTATTCTGAAAAATCTCTCTATCAAAGACATTCACAAAATTGGTCCGCACGACAATCCAAGTAAAGTTAAATGTTTAGATCCATTATACCAACAGTTTAGAAAAAATTTGAAGAGCTTTTTATATTATTTTGACCAAGAAGCACGAGCTCCTTTTTAAAGCCTGATTTTTCTTTCTCATTGCTGAATAATGTTCGCTTTGACCTGGTCCAGTGTGAGTGAGATCAGTTTAGTACACAGGGGTGGGTCAAATGAAAGCACAAAACAACTCATATTCTGTGCAATTTGCATTCTTGTTCGCTTTGATAACATCTAAGTGTGGGCTTTATTGTTGACTGGAGAGAACTGGGGAACAGAGCATGAAAGACATGTTTGTTTCTCTCATATGAATTTTACATGTGGTAAATCTCAAGTCGCATGACTCCAGCGCAACAGCCCTGAGAAAGACTGGAAATATTCCATATTCAAATCAGATGCCTCCCCCCACACACACACACAGACAAAATGTGCTGTGTATTTAATTTCCCCAATTTACTAAAACACCAATTAGAGCTTGGTACTGTGAGACAGATGTATTTGTATAGTCAGTCATTCATAGCATATCCTCAAAGGAGGGAAAGGTCATTCCCATTTAGCTGAGAAATGCCTACGTACATACATATGTGGGGAAGGAACAGTATTTTTTTCTAGAAACTGTGCCAAATACAGGGGAAGCTGTATTAACATTAGACAAAAGCCATCTCAGGGCTGTACTGACCTGTGTAGGATTTCAGGAATCTGTACAGGCCAGCATTCACTGGGATAAACAATAGTTTGGTGACGAGAGAATAAAACGAAGTGGCACTGCTACCTACAGATGAATTTAAAGTTGTATTTAAGATTTATATTTACAAGTCAAATAATGAAACTCACTTAAATGTGGAAAGTTTGTAGAAATTCATTACAGATCATTCATGACGTGATTTCTTTTCATTTACATTTACTTGTGATGTAATCCATTAAGACTCATACAGTGTGCTGATAGTGTCTCCTCGGGCCCTGATCCCCTATACAAACTGTTTATGTCTGAAACACAACTTGACTTGCCTCACACAGAAAACAAAAGGCAGGGGCCTTTCTCCCCATACACAGAAGCAGGCCTGGCAGGGAGCAGTGATCAGTGCCATGCACCAGATTGCACAGTGAAGAGGCAGAGAGGCGAGCAGAGCCGACTCAGTGATGACAGGAAGGTCTCTGTGCTCAGGGTCCCCTCTGGCACGTGAGCACAGGACTCGAGTAAGAGCAGATGGCATGTGGAAGGGAGAGTTCAACCCCACAAGCTTCCCGTTCAGACGCACAGCACCTATTATTTGTACTCTGACATCATGCTATTGGGGGGAGTGCAAGAAGCAGACAGAGAGAAACTGTCTTACAAACTTTAACATGGTGATTCTGACTCTCTGTGTGAGGTGACAAACTACACTATGTGGTAATAAGACTGAAGGTCTATCAGCCACAGTAACAGCTGTGTGAGGCTGTACTAAACCACAGCAGTGCTTTGACATAAATGCTAATAGTATAACCAGTGGTGGAAGAAGTACTCAGAGCCTTCAAGCCTAAACTGGATGACCATGCTATCCGATCCCTCAGACGACACTGCATCAAGAATCATCACTATTCTATAATTGATATAACCACATGGACTCAGGATTACTCTGGCACACCTGAGTCATATTTCAACAAGACAATGCAAAACCTCATAGTGCACACATTACCAAGGCCTGGCTGTGGAGGAAAAGGGTGCGAGTACTGGACTGGACTGTCTGCAGTCCCGACCTCTGCAGTCTCTATTGGGGAATAGGGAATGTGTGGCACATTTTGAAACCCAAATTGCATCAACGAAGACCCAGGACTCTTGCAGACCTTAAGGCTTATTTGAGGGAGAATGGGACAAAATTACACCTGACACACTTAATCACTTGGTGTCCTCAGTCCCTAAACGCCTTCACACCTTGGTAAATGCTTTATTGCCCCAACTTTTTTTTGGAATGTGTTGCAAGCATCAAGATTGGAGTATTTATTTTGAACCAAGAATAAAACTGATGAGGTATCACATCAAATAATGTGCTGCTGTGTTGTTTTCAATGTAATACAGGACACAGATGATTTACGTCAATATTTTCAGTTATAATTTTGATTGACATATTATCCCAACTTTTTCTGATTTCTGGGTTGTATTTTGTACTATAAATGGTCATTATATTATGGCAAACATTAATTTCTTAATATTATAAACAGTAAGGTAGGTAGGTCATATAAAATTAAAAACACATCACATTTATCACTGAAAGATTGCCACTGAAATCCAAAGTAGTCATCTCACTGGCAGGTGTGAGAGCTGAACAAAACTCTAATTCACTCTAATACATATCTGCTATAGCAGACCCATCCCACTTCTCAAGTCAGAGTATGACATCATTAAAATCTGGACTTCCATTGATAGCCATCTTCAACAACAGCTGACAACAGGTCAAGAAGGCCCAACGGTGGCTGTACTTCCTGAGGTGGCTGAGGAGGTTTGGCATGTTGCCTAGGATCCTTTGCAACCTCTACAGCTGCATCCTTGAGAGCATCTTGACCAGCTGCATCACTGTCTGGTATGGCAGCACTACTGCTATGGACCGCAAGCGCCTGCAGAGTGTGGTAAAGACTGCGGAGGAGATCACCAGGACTCCACTGTCCTCTCTGCAGAGCATTTACCACCGCAGGGTGTGTAGGAAAGCTGCCTCCATCCTCAAAGATCCCACCCACCCCCAGCATGGACTGTTCACCTTCCTACCCTCTGGCCGGAGGTTCAAAAGTGTGAAATGCAGGACCACTAGACTGAAAAACTCTTTCTTTCCCTCTGCCATCAGACTCCTAAACAGCTGAGGAGTTTATTACCAGGAAATACGTGATGTACTGTTTACATTCTCAGTTTGCACATGGATAACTGCACAATGACTGTTGACTGCTGCACATGCTGCTCCCATGCAGCATACATTCTCTATTATATTCTTTTATTGTATTGCTGCATTTGTTGCTGCCTAAAGTGTCCTAGATTTTGTGTTGCATGCATAATTGCACAACGACTCTGCTGCACATGCTGCTCCCATGCAGTATACATTGTTATATTCTTGTATATTTTTTTTTACTATATTGCTGCATCTGCGCTGCTTAAAGTGCCTTAGATTTTGTGTTATTTATTTATCTACATTATATTTCATTTGTATTTTGTGGCATTCATGTGGACAGCAAAGTAAGAATTTCATTGTACAGGGAAACACGTTTCCTAACTGTGCATATGACAAAATAAACACTTTGAACTTTGAACAGCTGACAGGACTACAGCATTCCTTTACACAGCTACATTATACACATCTTCACGTGCTCTAATATTATGTACTTTATACAAAAAAATTGTCTAAACAAGGTACAAAGACTAAATATTAGGGATCCTACCTTTAAGTGTTTTTCGGCTCCTTGGTCCCCTTTTCTCTTAGATGCAATGAAAGCCAGACTTACACAGCCTTGTCATTTTCTTTCAGGGTAGATTCACAGCAGCATCTCCACAATGAACTTCACCATTGGTGTTAATGCTATTGTCACGCTATCATCCTAAAGCAGGTGACAGATAACAGAGCCTCATGCGGTGCATCATGATGGCTGTCCTGAGCCTGGCGAACAAGGCCCCGAGCGCCTATCATAATAAATCCATTGTGAAATCCACACAACAAATATAACGTCATCTCCAATGTGACTGGCGAGTAAAGTTAAACAAAGCTGACATGTCATGCCCTAGTTAGTGGATTAAGGTTTAGCAGTCAGCCAGCTCCTGTCTAGTAACAATCAAACTTGTTTAAGAAATTTGATCATTTTTGCATGTTTTCCATTTGTTGTTGGATTTCCATTGTGTTAGATGGGGGTGGGTTACTGACCTTGTGTCTTCACTCTGGCAGGCACGAACACACTCTCTCACACACAAAGCATTTTTGTCTGGAACAAAGTCAGTCTATTGTGGACCAGGAGGGCACAGCTTCCAGACACATGGCGAGTATTTAACCCATCACATTCAAATAGTTGGATGACTCCTATCTCATTGATAAACTCTTACATTGTTTTCCTAAGGCCAGTGTGATTAATATGAGCTGAAGAAAACTGGAGATAGGCATTTTCTGGTTACTTAAAAAAAATATAAAAAATAACAAAAAAGGAGACTTCATGAATATTGATTAAAACAAATTTAATAAGATAGCTAGTAGCACAATAATGTACTATACTGGCTTTCATGTCACATAAAAGCATACATCACTGTCAGTAACACAGAAGTGCAACACTAAAATACAGAAATAACTGGATACTGAATTATATCACGTGCATTACACAGCGCATATTTGTTCTGCACATCAATGTTAACAGGTCCTCCATGGAAGGCAGGCCAGCACAGATCATTTTTGCAGTCCAAACTGTCTGCTGGAGTCTGATACAGCTTTTAAAGTAATTTCGCCAATTTCAGCTACCTCAAGTATATCATGTTTGCTAATCTCAATTTATTAAAGCAGCTATGCACAGCAAACAAAAACTGCTTTTAAAAACTAACAAGACAAAATACATGAACATGATGAATAAAACTAAACACAGGAAATGTAAACAAATGAGTCTTGGGCTCCTTCCACAGACCCCCAAGTTCAATGTTAGACACTGAAGAAAGTTAAAAACCACAATCACCTTAAACTGGTGATTTGAGTAGTCAGAGGTGCTGTGCTCCAGGAGGCTTGCTATCTATGCCCTACATTTACTGGGCACCCAGGGTCACATGTCAGAGGACCTGGCTGTTTTGTTATTGTAACCCACTCCTGGGCGAGTACACGTCACTCTAGGTTCGTAAGGAGCCAAGTGTAGTGCAACACAAAACACAAGTATATACATACACCACCTCAAAATCTAGTTTTTATCTGAACACACATTACAATATGAAAAAAAAACTGGACCTTTAAATCCATCCATCCATCTTCGTTCACTTTATTCGAGACCGGGTCGTGGGGGCAGTAGTCCAAGCAGAGCCTCCCAGACTTTCCTCTCCCCACACACCTCCTCTAGCTCCTCAGGAGGAACCCCAAGGCGTTCCCAGGCCAGCCAAGAGACATAGTCTCTCCAACGTATCCTGGGTCTGCCCCGAGGCTTTCTCTTGGAGGGACATGCCCGGAATACCTCCCCAGGGAGGCCTCCAGGGGGCATCCTAAACAGGTTCCTGAGCCACCTCAACTGCTTCCGCTCAACGTGGAGGAGCAGCAGCTCTACTCCAAGCCCCTCACGG